CAGCTCCCCCAGCATAGTTTATGGTTCAGTAAAGTCCGCATTCCTCATCTCACGGAGGAGCGGGAGGGAAGACTTGTGCAGAAGATGGACGGAGGCGGGAGGCCGTTTCCCATCCATGGCCAAGCCCTGAGAGCTGCTACCTGCTTGAAGGGAGGATAGTAATTGCAACCACATGGGCCAAGTCTGCACAGATGGTTTTATTAACGCAGCTCCCTTCAACACAAAACCCTGCTCCCCAGAAATCTCCCAGCAGCACAAAGACCCTTAGTTTTCCTGTATGCCCCCCACTGTCAACCCTCCCCCACCGCCTGACCCCACTCCTCCCCCTGCCATCCTCTTCAAAGGAAGCCAGAGTTCCAACTGCAACCCAGAAATGAACTCTCAACTAAAACTAAATTTAGACTACCCCTTCCTCCTGTCGCCAGCCCAGGCATGCCTGGGGAGGGCACTGGGGGTCCCTCTTCCCAGTGCCCACCTTGATTTGGGGGGCTTCTATCCGGAAGAAGGAACATTGGTTTAGGAATGTTCGGTCCATTTTCAAAGACAACATCCCAATCCCGAGAATTTGCCATTTTCCAGAACAGAAATGCGTGAGCTTGTGAATGTGTTTGTACCCTTGTTAATACGCAGGGCCCTGTCCTAGAAGCCTCACCTGCAGGGCGTCAGGCTACCCTGGCTACTTTCCTATGAGATTGTTGTTGTTGCTAGCTGCCATCTAAGTTGATTCCAACTCACGGTGACTCCATGTGTTGCAGAGAACTGTGCTCTATAGGGTTTTCTTGGCCGTAATCTCAGCAGAAGCAGATGATCACCAGCTGTTTCTTCCACAGTACTCCTGAGTGGGTTTGAACCGTGAACCTTTAAGTTAGCAGTTGAGTGCAAACCGTTTAGTACTGCCATCTTATGGAGGCTTGTCTGAGATCAAAAAGCTGGTGGGTGTTAACGCCAGTATTTGAAGTCTGGTCTGACTTGTGTCCAGGTGCTTTTCCTGGGCCAACCTCCACAAAAAACCAAGCCTGTTGCTGTCGAGTTGATTCTGACTCATAGCTACCCTATAGGACAGGGTAGAACTGCCCCATAGAGTTTCTAAGGAGCTGGCTGGTGGATTTGAACTGCCAACTTTTTGGTTAGCAGCCGAGCTCTTAACCATTGTGCCACCAGGGCTCCACCTGGGCCAACCTAACAACACGGAAATCACTGCCCTTTACCTAGCCACTCTGCAAGAGGAAGAGTTGACAGGCAAAAGCAGTGGTCTTCAAACTCTCTTAGGCAAGGTCACCTGGGAGGTTTGGAAAAATGCAGATCCCTGGGCCTGGCCCCAGAAATGTTGATTCAGTCCATCTTGGGCAGGGCCCTAGAAGCTGCATATTAACAAACACCCCCAGGTGATGCCGAGGCAGGTGGTCTAGAGAAAAGCTGGTTAGGAGGCTCTTGGAGCAAGAGACACAGGACCCTGGTCCCCAGTGGTCTTGGACCCTCAAACCAGGGCATTTTCCACAGTGCCACCCGATCCTGACATGTCTTTAGAATTCAAAATCTCCCAGTGAGCTGAATAGAGTCTGGCCAATTTTTTTTGGAACTAGTCATTGACACGTGATCACATGTAGTAAATTTCTGCACTGTTCACTTTATCTGGAGCTTCACTCACCCAACCTCCAACTAACCCAGAATTTCCTGTCCTCTCTGCTGGGGGTGGGTCTGCCCTCAGCGGCTGGAAGGAGGAATCATGCAGGCAAAGGCTCATAGAGCATCACTGTGCTCTCGGCACTGGGGACTCAAAGGTGGATAATGGACCAGCTCCTACTGGCACGTTTCCAGAGCCTGGACTCCTAGGACACCCACACTGGCTCACCCTCAGCTCCCAAAAAGCCTACTGTCAACTCAAGCTTGACAAATATATAAAGGGGACGGAAGCGCTCATGAGGATGTAGAATCGCTTTCCAGTAGGTTCCACAGGCTCCCTTTGTCTGGGCTGCCGGGTATATTAATACCCTGAGATGTTCTAGAATCATCGCTACAGGAGTCTCCTCCTCTGTCTGGGGCTCTGGCTGGTGTCTCAGCCTCTGCCAAGGGGTGACGGGGGTCACGTCATCATCTGTTGAGAGCTGTGGGCGGTGGGGCCTGCTGGGCCCAGGACAGATGTCTTAGTTTCTCGTTGTTGTTGGGTACCGTTGTCAATTCCAACTCATAGCAACCCCATGTGACAGACTAGAACCACCCCATAGGATTTTCTAGGCTGTAATCTTTACAGGGGGCCGTGGTAGCACAGTGGTTAAGAGCTCAGGCTGCTAACCAAAAGGTTGGCAGTTCAAATCCACCAGCTGCCCCTTGGAAACCCTATGGGGCAGTTCTACTCTGTCCTACAGGGTTGCTATGAGTCACAATCGGCTCAATGGCAACAGGTGTGGTTTTTTTTTTTTTTTAAATCTTTACAGGGGGCCTGGTGGCGCAGTGGTTAAAAGCTCAGGTGCTAACCAAAAGGTGCAGATCACTAGGTCTTTCTCCAGAGGAGCTGCTGGGTGGGTTCAGACCACCAGCCTTTCAGTTAGCAGCCGAGCGCTTAACCATTGTGCCACCAGAGCTCCTACTTAGTTTCTTAGTGCTGCTGTAACAGATATATTACAAGTGGGTTTAACAAACAGAAATTTATCTGCTCACAGTTATGAGGCTAGATGTCCGAAGTCAGGGCGCTGGCTGTAGGGCAAGGCTTCCGCTCTCTCTCTGCTGGCTCTTGGGGAAGTTCTTATCTCTTTTCAGCTTCTGGCAATCTTCACACGCGTGGTATCTATCTTCCGATCTGTGCTCCCTTGCTTCTTTGCCTAATCTGCTCCTTTTATATCTACACACCCTACATTGAGATGGCTTCATTAACATAACAAAGACAACCTGTTCCCAAATGGAATTCCATCCACAGGTGTAGGGGTTAGGATTGCAACACATAGTTTTTGGGGACACAATTCAATCCATAACAAGGGGTCAGTCAAGCCCCTTACCCCGCGCCCAAGGCACAAAGGAGGGACTCAAAAGTGGTTTTGTGTTTTAATAAACGTTCCTTTATTAGGTTACTGAGTATTATCAATGATCATAAAATAGAATGGGAGTTTTGAAACTGTACAAGTCACAAGGCTCAGGGCTGACAGGAAAGAAGGGGGTTAGGGGCACCAGGGAGCTGAGGGGTGGGGGTGGGGGGCGCGGAGAGATGACAAAGAGCCGTCATTTAGCCAGCTCCCGTGGGAGGTGACTGGGTCGGGGCCATAAGCTGGGCATTGTACAAATTAAATCGTCTCGTGTGCAACATGGGTCAGAACACGGTCCACCTTGCACAGGAGCGGGGAAAGTCTTTAAAAGTTTTGTCAGCAAGCCCCACCCCTCTCCCACCAGAAGGGGAAAAAGACCCTCAAAGTAATAAGGGGGTGATTTACATTTCTCACCCAGTCTTGGCACCAGTTTTGTGCTTTAAAAAATATACTCCACTGAAAGATTTTTTTTCTTTATAAAAGGTACCCTACAGCAGCTGTTTAAAACATAATTCTTACAGACAAATATATATGCGTGTATATATTAAACCTTTTAAACAAATAAAGTCATCTATTGTACCTGTACAGAAATGAACCAGAGTCCAAGAGAACTGACTTCAAGAGAGAAGAACTGGGCACAGCAAGGTGGTCTGCTACGTGGGGAGCTGTGGGAGCGGCGTCCCCCGCCTGCTCGCTGACCTGCCCTTCCCCGCAGCGAAGCTGAGGCTCTGAGAGGAGTCGTGATGACTGGGGACCTGCTCAATGACAGCGCCAGAGCCCAGGCAGGGCGCTGAGCAGGCACGGGCACTGGCTCCATGAGGAAGTGGCTTGACTCTGCTCTTGGTCGAACCAATCCTGCCCTGGCCCAGGGTCTCGGGCCCGGAAACCCGCTGACCCTTCCCTTCTTGGTTCTGGTAGCCCTCTGGGGAGGCCAGAGGCCCTGAGGATGCACTTGGGAAATTTCAGCTAGAAAAGCACAACCAAAAACAAAACTGAAGCACCCACGGGAGGCTTAAGAAATAAAATTACATGCGAAGATATGTGAACCCAACAGGGGCACGGCCGCGAGCCCATTCAGACAGGTTCCCCTAAGACACTCATATTGCACGTGGGTCTGGCATCCCCTGAGGGGCCCACTCGGGAACTCGGGCAGAGCTCCCGGGAAATGAAGATAAGGGAGCCCAGACAAAGACAACCTGCGCCCACACCCCCGTGCACACACAACACAGACACAGCCCAGGGAGAAGGGCAGGTGAGGCACACACAGCCCAGGGAGGGGGCAGGTGGGAGGAAAGCGACCGAACACTCCAGAGGGGGCTGAAACAAGGTTTCCTTTCTAAATGGAATAAATAAATGGCTTTTGTTATTGTTAAAAGAATAAATACAGGGTACCGGGGAACCTATACCTGGGGCTGGTGCTGGTTGCTTATTTGCCTGCGTGAGGTCCAATCTGAGTTTCTGCCTCGTGTCCTTGGCGGGTTTCTGACGTCCTGAGCTTTACCGGCCATGGCCGGGCCCCTGCTGGGCTGGGCACCGTCAGCCCTTTTCTGAAGCACCTCTCCAGTTCTCCTGGGGATCTGTTTGGGCGCCTTGGCACTTCCCACCGGCCCCACTGCCCCAATACCCTCAAGTGGCTGCAGCCTTCTCTCAGAAGGTAGGGGGGGCTCCCCATCCCACCCCGAGAGCAGATCAGAGCTCAATGTAGGACCATAGAAGTTTATTCTGTCTTTTTTAAACAGGGGGATGTATACGACATGCAGGGTGGCTGCCTTCTGCCAACGTCAGGAAGGGGGACGGAGGAGACTGTCGGGATCTGTTCATGTCTGGCAGAGGCAGCTGGGGAGGGATGGATGGGAAGAGCATGGCCTTCTGTCCAAGGCTGCGGATGCCGGTTCCAGGACCCGGCGCAGTGGGCGGCCCTGCAGTGGGCGGCTCAGTGAGGTGGCACCAGGTGTTGGTCGAGCGGAGGTCCTGGGTGGCGCGTCACTGGTACAGGAGGTAGGCCCTGAGCGCGGCGGGCAGCGGCAGTGTGCGGATCTCCCCGAGGCGCTCCTTCCCCAGGGCCAGGCGCACTGAGCGTCGGCAGAGATCCATGAGTGGCAGGGGCTCGGCTGGGTAAACCGAGGCAAGAGAGAGAGAGAGAGAACATCAGGTTAGCACAGTGTTCTCCACATTCTGGATGGTTCTGGAACAGACAATACTAAATCACAACAGCAATATTAAGAGCTAACACAAGAACCCACTCTGAGCCAGGCAGCCGTCTGCAGACACTAACTCAATGAATCCTCACAATGACCCCTTGAAGGAGCTACCATTACCATTATCCCCATTTTACAGATGGGGTAGCTGAGGAATAAAACCAGTTGCCATCGAGTTGACTCTGATTCATGGCAACCCGATGAGTGTCAGAGTAGAACTGGGCTCCACAGGGTTTTCGATGGCTGATTTTTCAGAAGTAGACCACCAGACTTTCTCCCCAGGTGCCTCTGGGTGGACTCAAACCTCCAGCCTTTTGGTTAGCAGCTGAGTGCACTGACCGTTTGTACCACCCAGAGCAGAAAATCTCAATGGCTTCCCCAAGGCAGCACTGCTGGTGGAAGACAGAACTAGGATTCGAGCCCAGGCCATCCCGCTCTTACCCTCAGCAGCAGCCTGTGATGTATGTCTGCCGGGGCACACCGCAGCCAGGTCTCCTCAGCCGGCACCCCAGCCCCAGACCCCACCAGGCTTTCAGATAGGGCATCGTTTGGTGTTAACCCAATTGCTCACGGCACTGTCCTCTGTTTCAGCTGCAGTCCCTGAGGCCAGAGTGGGGACGTGATGTACCAAGGTCACAGAGTTAGGAGGTGGCAGGGCAGGGGTTCGATCTAGGGAGTCTGGCCCCAGTGTCCACGCTCTGAGCCACCACACCATGCTGACGCTTAAGATGTTAGAAACGTTCGCCCAGAGTCCCTGACAGGTGGCAGAGCTGAGGGGAGGTCCCAAGCCGGTGGATCCCATGGCCTCAGGGGGTAGAGTCTGTGCTGAGTGTTGGCAAGTCAGAGCCTGAGAAACCCCTGGTCCCTGTACTTCTCTGCCTGACAGAGCTAAGTTGAGGGCTGAGGCCGACAGAAACTGGAAATGTCAGCCCAGCCATAGTGGAACCCTCTGGGGTCTTGTCCGGGGCCACCATCCTCAGCTAACTCAGAGACCTGGGGGTCGTGGCAATCAGAGTGGCTTCTAGCTGCAGCCTGCAACCTTTGTCCCAGGAGCCTGGGGCCTGCCTTCTGGAGGGAGGCTCCCTTCTCTCCCACGCCCCTGCCACACTCTGTGCTCCAGAAGTCTGACAAGCTTCCGAGTGCCAGCAGGGCCCAGGAGGCCGTCCCCACCCTGCCTTTGAGTCCACCTCTCAGCTTCTGTCTGTACTGAACCAGGCCCAAGTGAGCACACCCCAGCGCCTGGGCCCCTCGACAGCCCTCCAGTCAAAGTGAGCTTAAATGAGGGGATATATGGCTTCACCCACTGTCTTCCCCTTGATTTTGAAACTCCTTTGTGAGCAAAACAAAGGTCAGACCTAAAAACAAAAAAACCCAGCACTCCCTTCGACCCCCTATTTCGCCAATGAAGTGCAAATAAAAACTCTTTAACATTCACCAAAGCTCAGGATATTAAAAATAACTCAATAAAGATCAAATCCTAGGTCTGGGAGGGCTTGAGGGGGAAATGGCGAGTGACTGCTAATGGGTATGAAGCTTTCTTTTTAGGGTGATGAAAATATTCTAAAATTGATTGTGGGGATGGTTGTACAACTCTGTGACTATACTAAAACCCATTGAATGGTACACTTTAAATGGGTGAATTGTATGTTATGTGAATTAGATGTCAATAAAGCTGTTATTAAAAAAAAGAGAGAGTAAATCTTAGGCTTGGTAATGCATTGACTAAATTCCAGGTTTTAAAAGGCAAACAACTGCTCGTCATCTCCCCACAAGCAGCCACAGCTACAGCTAGACACAAGCAGGTATTGAAATGGTGAACATTTTTAATTGAAAGCTTTGAAATAGGCTTTTCCTGGACAACTTGGAATGATCGAGGGGAGCCTGCCTGGAGGCAGGAAGATGAACCAAAATGATCTCCCACATCCTTTTAGGGTCAAGGATTCCATAAAACCTCTAGTAGAGTAGGGCCCGGTCCCCCTCCCTACCCTGTCTGCACGTGGAGCCTTGAGTCTCCTCCACGTAATGTGTCCTGACCCGTGCTCCCCACATCTGGCTCCTCACCTCAGTGGTGTCACCCTGCAGAGCTGCCTGACTTGGAGCAGGTTGCTCCCTCTGCCTGGGCCTCAGTTTCCCCATCTGTCAGACAAGGAGACCGGGCCAGATGTCGTCTTTACTGGGTTGAAAAGTATCCCCCCAAATTCACGCCCACCTCAGAATGTGACCTTACTTAGAAATAGGGTCTTTGCAGATGTAATTAGTTAGGGGTGGGCCCTAAATCCAATGACTGGTGTCCTTATAAGAAGAGGAGACAGAGACACACAGGGAAGACGCCACGTGACGACGGAAGCAGAGAGCAGAGTGATACAGCTAAAAGCCAAGGGACACCAGGAGCTACCAGAAGCCGGAAGATGCAAGGAAGTATTCTCCCCTAGCACCCTCAGAGGGTGTGTGGCCCTGCCAGCACCTTGATTTCCGACTTTCAGCCTCCTGAACTGTGACAGAGTAAATTTCTCTCACAGAAATTTATTCTAAACAATTGTGGCTTATTGTTTTAAGTCACCCAGTTAGAGGTAATTTGTTACAGCAGCACTAGGAAACTAATACAATAGCAAACTAAAACACCATGCCGTCAAGTCATTCCAACTCATGGTAACCCCATGAGTGCAGAGTAGAACTGTGCTCCATAGGGTTTTCAAGGCTGTGACCTTTTGGAAGCAGATTGCCCGGCCTTTCTTTCAGGCATCTCTGGGTAGGTTTGAATCACCAACCTTTCGGTCAGTAGTTGTGTACTTAACCATCTGTGCCACTCAGGGACTCCCAAGGAAACTAATACTTTCCCCAAAGAACCATCCAGCTGAGATCCTGAGGGCCAGAAACACCTAGTAGCAGCCCCTCGGCCTGGACTCAGTTACAGAGGAGTGGCCCTCCTGATTGCATGAGCAAGTGGGGGAATTCAGGCTGCGTGTCCTCTTCTCCACTCAGGAGCTCCCCAAGGGTCTGGGCTGCCCCAAGCCCCACCTCCCTAGAATGCAGTCAGCCTACCCCAAGGTGAAAGGGCTTCCCCTGGTGGCTCGAGGGCACTTGAGAAAGCATTGAGAGCCATTGGCTGTGGCCCAAAAGCCCTGCCAAGAGTTCCCATCACTGTCCTCTTGGCTTAATGGGTTTCAGGGCAACTCATGAGCACCGTCACCAAGAAACATTTCTCAACAGTGGAGGCCTGGGCAAGCCCTGGCTCCAGCTCACTTATTACAGGTGGCTAACATCATAGCATGAGCCCTGGTTGTGCAGTGGTTAAGTGCTCAGCTGCTAGTCAGAAAGGTCAGTGGTTCAAACCCACCGGCTGCTCCTAGGGAGAAAGCGGTGGCAGTCTACTTCCGTAAACATTACAGCCTTGGAAACCATATGAGGCAGTTCTACTCTGTCCTATAGGGTCACTACGAGTCAGAATTGACTCAACGGCAATGGGAACATCACAGCAGTCCCTGGGTGGTGCTAACAGTTAACGCGCTTGGCTGATAACCAAAAGGTTTTCAGTTCAAGTCCATCCAGAGGCACCTCAGAAGAAAGACCTGATGATCTAATTCCGAAAAATCATCTATTGAAAACCCAATGGGCACAATTCTACTCCGACACACATGGGGTCGCCATGAGTTGGAACCAACTCCACAGCAACTGCTGCAACTTCAAACATCACAGCACCAGCAGCAGCTACTGTCTGCGGAGTGCCTACTGTGTTCTGGCGGGAGCTGTGGCACCCACCCTGCACAGGGGAGATGGGCTTGGGCAGGTGAGAGCCAGATGCCCAAGGTCAGAGAGCCATGGGCTGGAATCTGGACACACACCCAGGTCTATCAAATTCTAAAGTCTAGCTCTTTCTTCTCCACCAGCATGAAGAGGAAGTTCCTGAGAGCCCTTCAAAGTTTATCCAGAGTGGAAATCACCTGCTGCCAGCAACTCTCAACACCCCATGCTGAAAGCTGTTCTGCAGTGTGGGGGAGCTTCTAGTGCCTGACCATACTCCTTCACAACTGAATAACCCAGTTTAGGGATGCATCCAGAAGTCAGAAGAGATGTGTTCTCCTGACACACCAGATCTTCCAAGACTGTGGCAACTGGTGGCTACAGTGATGAATTAGGAGCTAAAAATATGGCCAGAATTGTCAGCCAAGGCACCCCTTGAATGGGTCTACACTCAGAGGCCCCATCTACACAAACAGATGAAATCACGCCCCCAGTAACGGTATAGAGGGCCAGGGTCTATGTTATGGATTAAAATATGTTCCCCCAAATAAATAGGTAGATAGATAGACCATGAGGTGTGGGAGGATGTAAGGGAACAACACACCCACTGGCAGATATAGGTTTGGTGGTAGACATTTCTATATACATAAATGTAGGTGTGGCTCATTTAGAGCACACAAGGGTATAGTCAGAGAAACCTCTTAGACATAACCAAACACCTTGCAGGTTGGAATTCCTAGGCTAGAAGACAAAGGACCATAAACTCGGGGAACATCTACGTCAATTGGCACAACATAGTTCATAAAGACAATGTTCTGCATCCTACTCTGGTGAGCAGTGTCTGGAGTCTTAAAAGCTTGTGAGCAGCCATCTAAGATAAACTATTGGTCTCTTTCCATCTGGAGCAAAGGAGAGCAAAGAAAACCAAAGACTCAAGGGAGCAATTAGTCCAAAGGACTAGTGGACCACATGAACCACAGCCTACATGACCCTGAGACCAGAAGAACTAGATGGTGCCCAACTGCTCTGACTGAGATCACAACAGAGGGTCCTGGACAGAGTGGGAGAAAATTGTAGAACAAAAAATCAAATTCACAAAAAAGGCCAGACTTAGTGATACGACAGAGACTGGAGGAACCCCTGAGACTATGGCCTAAGACACACCCTTCTGA